CCATGCTTTGAATCCTAAGAAGAAGAGGACTGCTGCTCCTTCACAACTATGATTAATTAAAAATAACAATAATATAAATTTTACCTATTTTTTATATTATTTTCCTTTTGGATAGTTTTCAAATAAAAATAAACCTATTTTTGTTTCTATATTCTGTGTATTGGAATAAAGAGTCCCCCCCCCAGTGTTCAATGATATGCATGTAAAAGAATTATGTGCAAAATTAAATCAATTTTTGTTTGTCACATTTATTTTTCACAGCGTGTACAATTTTCAAGATCTACAATAGAAGATTCATTGTAGCATTTGGATAAATCTTTTTTTTTTTTTTTTTTCTGTGTATTTTAAATATAAGATCTGTTTTTGTATATATCAGCTTTTTCCATACCTTTTTCTTATTTAATTTATAAAAACGTTAAAATATAATAAAATCAAAATAAGTGTATATCTATTTTTCAAGTTGGGTAAGGAGGAGAGGCATGATCTAGCAAAGGTAAAATGGTTGAGAACCACTAATATATGGTAATAAAAGTATTTTCATTTCTGCATTAAATTGCTGGAACCAAATAGATCTTTTATATTATCTTTAATAGTTTTTGTCAACTAAATCTAATCTTGCAAGATGTAGTTATGCATAACGAAATTCATTATTATGAATTATATTGACTGTTAATTATAGATCTTCACGCTAGCTGTATATGTTAGGAGTGAAATACATTGCAATATCCAATATTTTCAGAATACGATTTTTTTGAAATAAAATATATGATTATGGAATATTACATTAAAATGAAATGGTTCCTTATGTAACCTGTATGTTACACTAAAAGGCTTCATCCAATACTTGTAAAGTAATGAGCAAATACTAAGTTAATATCTTGTGTGAATGAATATTATCTTACAGAATTTTTTATTCCATAAAAATTTATCTAAAAATATAATTTTGTTGAATGAAGATTTAAACATTTTTCCCCGAAGATTTAAAAAGTCGTTTGAAATAATGATACAAAAACATTAATCTGAACCATTTAATAAATGAATAGAAAATTTTGAGAACAATTAAATCATCCACAGGAATTTTGAAATAATCATCGTATTTTTGACATCAGTTAAAGAAAGAAAATCTGAGTCATTTTGATTATAGTGATAAATTAGTTCCATTAATAGTAGGATAGAAAATTAAAATTTTAAGGAGCCATTATGCATTATCAATTTTTCATTAAAAATTTTTAGTTTATTACTACTATCATATCAATTATTAATGCTGAATTCTTTATCTTCAGTTTTTACATTCTTAAGTCTACTTTTCTTAATTTTCTAGGCATAGCAGAGAAAAATATAATTATAGGATCATTTTACTATATTTTCATCATCATCATGTATTATAGACACAGTATCAAGGGATTCTGTTCAATTTTTCAGTTAGAATTTAAGACGAAGTTGTGAAGTCATACCTACATTAAATGCTTGAATTGATTATTTGAAATATGACAAAGCAAGAGAGGGCCATCTGTCCAAGGAAAGGAATATTTTAAGGAAAACTTCATGTTACACAAACATTTACACAGGCAGCCCATTCTCTAGGATTTAAATCTAGAGCCAAATGCTAGTGTTCAGCTTACTGTCTGGCTGCCTGTAGGCAATAAATGTTTTAGTAGAAGGAATACTTGAAAAATTAAATTTAGGACTAACTAATTCTTCAATTTTGTATTCAATGAGAAGAATGTAATTTATTAATAAAGTTTTAAATCTGGGAAAATACCTGTACAACTGTCCGATTAATTAATCTATTATTTCAATTAATGGTCAGTAGCAGAAGAGATTAAAAAGCATTTATGCCTAAAAGAATTATATGTTGTAATTTAAAATGAATAATGCAATTAAGCATGAAAATAATTTTGGATAACTTGTGATAACTGAATTTAAGTTCATTGTTGAGTTACATAAGTAATTTTTTTTAGAATTTGAAAAAATATTTAGAATTGTTTATTGAAACAATTTCATTAAATATTTTTTTTACTGTAATCATATCCAATTGCAGTCTCTTTAGATTACACTGTTGGGTATAAGGAGAATGATTTGGTTTAGTTTACTTAAGTATGGCAAAGCACACTAGGACTATCTGCCTAAGTGGAGAAATGCCTTTGTGGAGGACTTTCGAAGGGAAACTGACTTATATACATGTTACACATGGAGAAAACCATGAAAATACCCATACAACCAGCCCATTCGCGGGATTTGAACCTCGGACCGAACTACCAGTGTTCAGCGGAGGAATTCTAGAACATTACTAATTTATTGCCAAAAAACCATTAAGTCTAATACACAAGTTTTTTTTTCCAGCTATTTCGTGATGCATATGTAACTTTGAGATGTCTTAAAATTCAATAAAGGAAAGTAATGCAGATGTAAGAAAAACATAAAATTTGAGCTTCTTTTTAACATTGGGAATATTTTGAAAGAAAATGTATATCTTTTAGAAAATCTAAGGTATTTTTCCTTAAAAAAAAAAAAAACTTAATATTTAAAGTTACATAACTTCCCTTTCCCCACAAATAAATAAATGCAGCATATTTTGTTACAAGCAGTAGCTGTAGACATTTCACATAAAACATATGTTCTACATGTGTAATTATTTATAGTAATATTACAATCAAAATATTTAATATTTGAGGAATACATCATTTTTGTATTTTGTATAAGACAAATATGTTCTATATGCATAATTATTTGGAAGAACTTTTAAGTAAATTATCTGCAACTTTTACATATATATCCTTTAAAATTTCACATGAAAATACATGTTCTTACATAATCACTTGCAATAACCTTACAAGCAGAACACTAGTAATCTACAAATATTCCCTTTAGTAATTCACATTCAAAAATTACGATCTACTTACACTATTATTTCCTGTAATCTTTACAGATGTTTACATTGGTAAATCACATATGAAAAACATGTTATACTTACACGATAATTTCCTGTAACATTACAGATCAAAGATCTGTAACCTTTACAGGCATATGCTTCGGTAATCAACATACAAAAACTTTGTTATGCCTACAGAATAACTTCCTGTAACATTACATGTCAAACATCTGTAACCATTACAGGTATAATCTCTGTAAAGTTACTAAGAATATTCCTGTTTTGATTACTCAAATAATCCATGGCATCCCAGTTTCCACGACTTTTCTTAGTAACTTTACAGATTTTATTTTGCAGTGTAATAATAATAAGAAGAAAAGTTCAGCTACAAGTAAATCTGTTATTCTTGCTTGCGAATTGAATGAAAATGTGCTAAAGCATTTCAAAAAGCGTGATCGAAAACGGTTGTCAGTTATAGGCGCAAGGTTTCAGTCTGAAATCATTCAAAAATAATGCTTATCCAAAATAAAAGTTATTTTCTGATGAGAAAAGAATTTTGAAGAATGATTCTGATCATTAATAAAACTTAGACATTATTCCGACACCACCACAGATGTATCATAAGATATTTCTTCAGTATTATCGGCTTGAAGCCTTTTTCATTTATTATTATCTTTCTCCTGCTCTCTGCGGAAAAGGCGTTTTATAAGGGTTGCTAACCTATGTTTCTCTTCGATATCGGATCATGCGACTCGTTGGCCCCGAGAGAATTATTTTCTAAGGAAGAATAGCGCTCCGAGGAAAAGATGGAAGAAGAAGGTGAAGTTTCAATCGAAACTCGCTTTTAGTCTTGCTCTTCTTAGAAATGAATTATACCGATTAGTGGAAGTGCATAAATGTACAATCAGTTAATTGGGCTAGGTGCGTTCTTCATTTGGTTTAGTAAGCTAGGTATGAAGCTGGGAAATAATTCTGGCGAAACAGAAATATGCTGACCACGAATTCAGCCAAAAGTCACATAAAAAATTAATTATCGCTATACTCATACATAACTTTTAGTACCGTAAATTTGAATCTTAACCCTTTATGTCCCAAATTATGATATTTTTAGAAAACTTGTGCTATATATTTTTTATGCTCAATTTAACTGTAGAAAGACACACAAAAATTGAGATTCATTTACAATAATTATTTTTATTGTAATAACACAGAATATTACACGGAACTTTAAAGTCCCTTCGGGATTTATCTTCATTACGTTGCCATTACATCCATTAGTATGAAAAAGACAAAATATTAAATATAAATGAAAAGTAATATATTTTTATACAATTAATTATGGTATTGATAAAGGCAGTTCTTTTTTTATTAACACAAAGAAATACTTTGCATAATGCGCACTGAGAATGTGGTCGTGACTCAATTTTTTTTGAAGTACAAAACTCACACCGTCCTCTATTTTTTACAAATACTGGCCAATGTGCACCTTTATTTTGTTGTCTTATGTCATCAGAAACAGAAAAATTTGCTGTCTTGCGTTTTTTTTGGGGTGGTAATTCACTTATCGCTCCAGCATCTGATCTAGGTCTTCCCCTTTTCTTCGAAGACACTTTTGACATTGTTATTAGACCTTGTGTTACCCTTCATTTGTATTCTAGAAAAGGTATTTTATCATGTATGTCACAGTAGCAAATATACGAGTTTATCATTGCAATTTCTATAATACCGAAAAAAAAGACGATGCCACCACTTTTGGGCCTCTCTATATCTATCATATAGTGATTTTAGCATGTCACTTTGATCCACACCTACCATATGACTGTTATAATCTCTTACTATTGTAGGAGCTGGTATATCCATAATTAAACCATCTTTTTGTTTTCTTTGAATTTTACAAATTTCAGTTCCATGGTAATTGGACAAGAAAAAAACACAGCGGTTGTCTTTCCATTGGAAGTATGAAATTCCTTGGTCTATTAGGCAACAGTCAAAATCACCCCTTTTCAAAGCTTTGTCTACTGCAAGAGACGGTAAACCTTTACGATTACTTTGTACAGTTCCACATACATATATACCAACAGGTTTTAGATATTCATACAATTCCACAGAGGAAAAAAGTTATCCATGATTATGATGCGTTTTTATTTACAAGAAATTTGGTTAATTTCTGAACTATACTCCCTCCTAGACCAAATCTTTTGAATTCTGAATCACCTTTTCCCTGATATACTTCAAATTCATACACATAACCTGACATATCTGAACGACACCATAGTTTGTATCCTCTTTTTATTCGTTTTTTAGGATTGTACTGGTTGAGCGTTGAGCATCCTTTGAATAATATCATGCTTTCGTCTATACTTTGTGTTTGATGAGACATTCTCAGTGATTGAAAATTTTTATTTAGTTTATCCATAAGTGGTTTAATTTTACACAGTCTATCAGTATTTTGCTTTGGTATTACTTCATTATCATTTACATGCAAGTTACCTAATATCTGGAAATACCTATTTCGTGAAAGAGTGTCAGGAACAACAGGTACAGAATAATCTATATCACTGCTCCAATAATTCCGTACTCGAGGTAAGCGGTGGTAGCTAAATAGCATATTTAGTCCCGAAAATCCATAAAATTCCTCTTTAGAAATAGGCTTTACATTACTTTGTTTTTGATTTGAATAGAGATTTGTTTGAAATACAATATTACTTATAATTTCATCATCTAAAAATGTTAAAAAAATCGGTAGGCAATGTTTTACCTTCGAAAGCTGATGCACATGTTCCATGAGATAAGCTAAATGTAGGGATAGTTGATGTACAATCTCTTTTCTTCTAAATTCTTTTTGGTGTCATTTTTTCACTTTCAGTGTCTTCACTTGAATCGCTTTCAGAGTCTGAAATTTTATGAAAGTTTATAGCATTCAAACTTTGATTATTTGTTTTATTTTGTTCTGGTGAATCTTCGGCAGAACTACTGGCCTCTTCTGATGGTTCAACATCAGATGGTAATTCATCCCAGATAATTTTAATTTCTTCCGGCGTCAAGCCTTTTCTTCGTCTATACATTATTCTAAAAAAGCAGAAATCGCAAGTATTTTGTAAAAGGGTGAAAAACTCTAAAAATTTGTAAATACTCAATGACAAAACAAAAAACCATTAAGAAATGCAATACTTTAGGATAATTGAATATATTCAAGTGCTAAAAATAAATTATAATAAAATGCGATAACAAAAATCCATTTAAAAAAATTATTCAATTTTCACCAGGACCTTTATGACCCACCGGGACTTCAATGTCCCGAAAGAATAATAACAGGTCGTGTTAGAAAATTTTCACTGAATTGGTTATATTTTGAATTAAAATTAAAAGAAAGTTCGTAAAGAATAGGTAGAAAAATATAGGAACTACTCTGATATGCGCCCTCAAGTCGCCAAATTTCGCACCAAATATTTTTGGCGAGAGACTTCACGCTGCCATATTACTATCTAAATTTTTTGTCTACATTTCGAACTTTTAGCCTAAAATGTCTCCAAAAACGCGGTTTTCGCGCATGCAAAAACTACGTTTTCAACATACAATTTAGCTAAATATCCGAAACAAAAACAAAAAATTTAGATAGCAAAAACGTAAAGTTTCTAACCAAAAATATTTGACAAGAATCCATGTACACGGCGACATGTTTTAACTTAAAAAAAACATCTACGAATGGCACAATGTAAGGCAACGAACGAATCTACAAACTATGCACACCTCGCTTTAATAAACTAACATAACAACAATAAATTTCAAAGAATACCATGTACACAGCATCCTGTTTAAACTTAAAAAGAATTCTACGAATTGCACAATTTAGACAAGGAAGGAATCTACGATCTACGCACTCCTCGCTTTAATAAAATAACATAACAACAATAAATTTCAAATAATACCATGTACACAGCATTCTGTTTCAACTTTAAAAAACATCTACGAATTGCACAGTCTAGACACTAAACAACAAAATAAATTTCAAACAATTTAAAAAAACAACAATAACGACAGAAATTCATACTAAAGAACCAATGAACATAACATTCTACAAAATAAGAACAAGGATAAAATAAAATGCACTTACCATGAATTAATGCGTTTTCGAATAGCAGAAATATAAATTTCATACCGCTTTTAACATGCCGCCACGTAATCACTATCGTATTTACATGACAGCCATACACACTATCCAGAAAATTTATACTATGGTTCACAAATAAATAAAATCACAAATCCCTACTTCTATCATGCACTGCCATTAAAAATAATCTCCCAGACCCTCTTTCCACACTTCCAAATACCCACTACCCCTCAACAGGATAGCCACAATGATATTTCCTTTTGCCAAACTTCAATTCAACAACTACCATTTTATCTTTCCCTCCCATCTTCTCAGACACAGAGGCGAATCAACGAGCTCCAGGGAAAGATTTTTCAACGTCAACAGGGTTGCCATAGAACACGCAATCGTGCCAAAAACCAGCGCAGAACACATATCGCCACATTTGGTGAAATTAGGGCGTATATTAGAGTTGTACCAAAATCTAAAGTACTTACCAATCAATATTCTGTTGTTACGAAGCTTGGAAGTACGTCAAAAGCTTTCTAGCAAAATGGCCATTCAAACTGAGCTTATGACGAAATTGTTCATCCATATCCATGCGGAACAAATCGTTTATATAGTGCTGCCATCTACTGATCATTAGAAGACGGTTAAATGAAAGAACTTAAAAGTCCCGTTGGAATTCATGGAATACTTTTAATTTTATTTGACTTTATATTAATTGGGACTTACAAGTCCCGTCGGAGCATAAAGTGTTAAATAATTATAACAATAACAAGAATTTATGAGTCAGATTTTATTTCTATTACCTTATTATACCTAGAGAACTAACTATACTAAGGGAGAAAATGTAGTAAAACTAGACAACCCAGAAGTGCTAAAATTTGATATGGGGTGACGAAGCTACATTTATTTCTTTCATACCATCCATGATAAAATCCGTAGAATAATAATCATTAGAAAAGTCATACACTGACACAGTTTACTAAAAGTGACTGTATTGTGCCGGAAGGTTAATAAAGCTATGAACAGACAGAAAATATTGAAACTGTAAGCTATACAACAGCATAATAAAAGTCTTAGAATTATCGTATAATGGTATGTACCCGATAAGGGTCAAATAAACGCCTTCTTCTAAAACTGTCCCTGACCAAAAATCTTTGTAACAATTTTCACTTATTTTCCGCCTGAGAAATGCCTGCTTAGCAGAATTTCGCTTTGAACTTTTACATCTTCACAATAAGATATTTACTTATTATGTTATAATGTTCCCAATTACTTGGTATTTTCTGGATGTATAGGAACCTATTGAAAACTGTAGCGACATGTCGATGAGTTCAAGTGCAACTACAAAGTTCAGAGAAGGGTTAAAATACACTTTCATCCCGGTCCCTTCTTGGGCGTACAGGAAAGCCTCCACTCGGGTTTCAAATCAAGATAAGAAAATAAGAAACTAATACTGAACTAAACTGACTTAGCCGAAGGTAGACACAAAACCCTGACGTACAGGAAGCCTGACGTACAGGAAACCCTGACGTACAGGAAAGCCTCCACTCGGGTTTCAAATCAAGATAAGAAAATAAGAAACTAATACTGAACTAAACTGACTTAGCCGAAGGTAGACACAAAACCCTGACGTAATTGGCCCTTAATTAAATTAGCCGGCGATTGTCAACAGGCACGTACAATACGACCGAGCGTGTTAGGTTTAAAAACGAAGTAGTTTGACGGCAAACATGCGCCACTAAGGATTCATAAGCTCTAATACTGGAGGAAGCTGAAATTTCCTCAAACACTTCTCCTGCCTCATTCACATTCAACGCGATTCTAAAACTCCTTCTGGTAAAGAGTTATAACTGGGAAAAAAGAATTGAAAAGAAAGGGTTTGAAAATTTGCTATAAAATTAAAATACACATTACAATGTATTATAAATTTAATGAATGATTTCAGAATGAAATCTAGTGAGTGGCCTTGTCTTAATTTTCAATATTAAGCATAGTGGCACAAATTAATGTAAGTCAAGATAGTTTCATTAAAAGGAACAATCTAAAAAAATTACAATGGAAATGCCATTTTATTGAATTTTTTTAAAGAGAGAAATAGAAAAGGACATTTTCTGTTGTGATTATTCTTTGTATATTTTTGAGTGACATTCAAAATGTTATATTTAAGGATTTTAAAATCTTGATTTGTATTCTGAAATCGCACTAAAAATATAGGATCTTACTCTCTTTGGTTACATAAACTCAACTAGATCCTATATATAAAACTGGTGACTACTCGTACAGGCGTGAAATAATACCGCAGAAGAAGATTTAAAATAACTCTTTATTATTTTCAACTATTAACAGAAAAGGCACGTACTTCGTGCTTTACAATAATACTGATAATTTGCGGTGGAAACTTACAAATTCTTACAAGTATAAAACGGACAGTGTTGGATTAGTACTTTTAAGTTACGACTAGCTAAGTTGACTCGACAAACCTAACAGGCTTGATAATTATCCAAATGGCCAAAAGGTGCATCAGCGTAACCTCGACGACATTATTCTACTCTTGACATCATAAATCATTGATCATCTTACATCATCGTTGTCTTCGGTAAAAGGACCATCATCATCAATAAGTCGAAACCTGAAAAGAAATACGAAGGGAGAGGGGAAGATTGTGTGCTAAGGACAAAATTGAAAGGAAACATCTTAATTGTCCTTCATCTTTGCAACAATAACATCGTCAACAGTCCCTTCTATTTTTCAGAAACTTCATCTAAATCGAAAAGTAGCTTCAATCTTTAACATTTTTGGGAACGTTCATTTCATCTGAAAAATAACATTAACTGAAATAAAAGTAATTATTAGATGTGAAAATCACAGTTCGGTTATCAGTTGTATTATATGTTGTAAATTAGCGCATTTAAAATAGTCATTCTATACATCTTCTGCTTGAAAATTAGAAGCATTTTGTTTGCTTATTCCTGATATAAAATTAAGAGCTGATTTTGCTTTAGAAAATCTTGTTTTGGGGACAGAAGGTTCTTCAAAGAAATATTTACGTCTCATATGTGTCCTTGTCTTAGGTTTAGTTGATTCGTAAGTTAAAGTCGCTCTAGATGGTGTTGAAACAGCATCAGCACCACATAGGTCTCCATAATCATCATCAGCATTAAGAATTTCTCGCAACTGACGAAATTCTTCATGAGTAATACACATTTTTCTTTCCAATTCTGCTTGTTTAGCAAATAATCTCTTCTGCATAATTTTTCTCATGCGATTCTTTTCAAAAGGTAGCTTTTCTTGCATTTTCAGTTTGATATGTTGAACTTCTTTTTCTTTCTCAGAGAGGATTTTATCTTTGATGCTCATCTGAAATTTTGTAGTTTCTACTTCCTTTTTGACTTCTGATAGTTGTTTCTGTAACGTTTCTACACTCTGTTATGATACAGAAAGTTTTCTTTCCAAAGATCTGACTCGTTTTGTTAAGGAAGCATCCAAACCCATTTGTAAAATAGATTGTT